CTGACCTTAGGATTTTTCAATACTGAAGGTGCTTAATTCTTCTAGGTATTTGTGTGGATCTATGACCCAGTTCACTTCAAAACATTTGTCATGGGGTTAATACTTGGTAAGTAGAAGGATGGTGAGTAGCTTTAAAATACAATTTCAAGTGTTTAGAGAACAAAATAAAATAGCAAGAGTCTTAAAGAAATACAATACAGTGACCAATAGTTATAGATAATATTTAGTCTCATTCTTACTAGATCTAAGTTAAAACAACAATTATTTAAGAGGATTATAAAGTTTGGTAATAACCAGTAAGAAGGATAATGCATCCATTTTTTTTATGGAAGGCAGTTTGAAAATTTGTTTCAAATATCAAATGCATATAGATGAGGGGATTTCAAAAATTGCCCAAAAAATTAATAAAGATAATTTTTCCAGGAACTTTTGGAACTACTACCTTGGACTTTTTGTGTATGTGCATATACTCTGTGACCCAGCAGTCTTTTAACAGCAGTCTGACTGACCCAGCAGTCTTAACAGATTTGAGCCCATTGCTATAACTCATAGTTTGTTATAGAAGCATTTGTAGTAACAGAAAATAATCCAAATCTCCTCAGTATAATATATTTAGGGGGGAGGGTGTTTAAACATTAAACATTAAAGCATTAAAACCTAAATAGTTCGTTTGGAATGTATAGGTGGCACAAAGGATTAAGCACTTGTCCACTACCCTGAAGGTTATCCGTTTGCATCTACTCAAGGTGCTTCTAAAAACTGGCATGGTCGTCTGCCTCTGAGAGGCCACAGTCTGGAACCCTCTCAGCACAGTTCTGCTCTGCCGCGCTCGGGATGGCTCTGAGTCAGAATCAACTCAGGCAACATATAATTTGCCTAATAATATCACGCCAAAGGGTTTTCTTGTCTTGTAATTACATAGTGGAGCAAAGCTGTTTGTTTGTTGCTAGTTGCAAAGATTGTTGGCAATGTTTCTGTAAAAGGATAAAACTGAAAAAAAGCTGAAGGCCTTCAATAGAACAGTGAAGTAAATTAGAAACTACAATGGAATACCATACAAAACAGATTTTAAAGGTTCATGGAAACATGGGATGAAAAGATACTGGAACTCTTCCACAAACTTTTTGAAGCACCCTCGATTGCTTTGAAGAAGTAGATTTAGCTGTAATAGAGCTAAATAGCTATCCATCCATATAAATTTAACCTCAGAGAGGTTAAATATCTTGCCTAGAATTACTCAGCTTATAATAAAAATAATAGGTGCTAAAGTTTGAATCCTAGTCTCCCTTAGTCTGAAGACCTTCCTCTAATTTTTGTGTAGTTATTCTCCTAAC